CTCTAGTTCATATTAAGTTACTTCACTAGGGTTTGTTAATTTGCCAGCAAATTATGAAGCTAGCTTCTTAAAACCGGTCAATCTTTTTTTCTTTTTTTTACGAATATTTTATTTAATCAAATAATGATTAATATGAACTCTTATTTATGTACTGCTAAAATAGGTGATGATATAATTTTGCAGATTGTTATCAAATTGAATAGAGTTAAAAAGTTTAATATTGGCTATTTTTTTTTGATGATGATTTTTTTAATAAAATTCGCTAAGATGGGTAATTTTTGATAGAATGTTTAAAATTGGTTATTGTAATCGAGTTGGATATAGATTCCTGAGCGCTTATTTTATGTAAATAATAGTATTTTTTAATAATAACTTTTAATATAATTATCAAGATTTTAAAATTTACAATTAAATAGCTCTGTTTTATATAGTAAAATAATACCATTTTAAATTATTTAAATTACTTAAAAATTTATTATGAATAAGTGCCCATATTATATAGTGATTTTATTTCTTTTGGATCTTGATAGTTTAAAATTAAATTCTAAAATGCAATTTCAAAGTTTTTTTCAAGTAAAAAATTTCAAGATATAAGTGATATATCTTTTACATAATTTAATTTCGCATTCTTCGTTTGGATCACATGGTATGCATCACAAGATAGCTATAATATTATCATGTGACCTGCACTTCTGGGAACTGATCTAACCAATTCAAGTTAGTATTTTCATAAAAAATTTTTTGGGTGCTAATTTGTCTATAAATATTTTAGCAAGCAAATTTGTCTGCTAAACTAGACAGTTTAAGAGATAATTATAATTGTTTAGTGTAGATAAAAAATCTTATATTTTCTTTTTTCTTGTTTAATTTTTATCTCTTTTTTTATTATTTATATATTTTATTATATTTCTTTATATCTCTATATTTTTTATAAAGTTTTTTTTTTACTTCTCAACAAAAAGATATTAAATTAATAATATTTTATTGTAGGATGATAATTGAATAAACTTTTGAAGAGTATTATCTTAATTAATCCAGTTACCTGTAAGCACTCTAGTAATTTTAGTTAAATATAAAATAATCACAAGATATCAGGGCTATTAATTTATTGTAATAATCTTTGGATAATAAGTTCACTAATAGCTTTAATAAATAACAGTCACTAGCACAATTACCTAAGTTAAAAAATATATATATAACTTGATTGCCAAGGTAAAAAAAAATAGTAAAATTTCAAAAAAATTTTTAAAATTTAATTTTAAACAGTAATAGCAGCTTAATTTTTAGTATAGATATAGTAGCATATTGTTTTATACTAAAATCAGCAGAGTGGACAAACTATATATGCTACTAAAATAGGTTTTCAAAAAAACCCTATTTCGTCTCTATTAGAGCAATTTAAAATTTTTTATATATAAGAGCAAATCTAATTTAGGTAGTTATGTTCTTTATAATTTCATCTCTTTAAAAAGTGTCAAAAAATTTTATCTTTTAAGTAAAATAGGTCAAAAATAATTTGTCTTCAAATTTTAATTTCATATCCTAAAACCTAAAATAATTTTGTTAGCATGTATAAGACAAACCCAAATTTGATAATAATCATCATAATTAAATAAAAAAAATTTTTTAACTTTTTATATACATTAAAATATTTTTTATTCTCATAATTTTTTAAAAACTTACCAATTAAATACATTTAAAACAAAATATAACAGAAAGAGTTTTCAAATATCTATCTTCTATTAAAATTAATTCAAAATAATCCTAGTATTTAAAAAGTTTTATTAAGAATGAAAGTTTATAAGAGATCTAAAATAGTTAAACCTGTAATTCGAGTGCACAAAGATATTTCGGTATTAAAACTAAGAAAAAACAACACATTTTCTGAGGATGAAGAAGGCTTTATGCCAATTCTTACATCACATCAAAGTTTTTTAGAAAGCCCAAGATCAAGCTTAAATAATGAGAAAAAAGAGAAAAAAAAAACCTGAAAAATTTTTAAAAGAGTTAGCAAATATTCAAGTGCTACACAAACATTACCACCACTATTTTCAAATTTCCAACCTCTAGTTCATATTAAGTTACTTCACTAGGGTTTGTTAATTTGCCAGCAAATTATGAAGCTAGCTTCTTAAAACCGGTCAATCTTTTTTTCTTTTTTTTACGAATATTTTATTTAATCAAATAATGATTAATATGAACTCTTATTTATGTACTGCTAAAATAGGTGATGATATAATTTTGCAGATTGTTATCAAATTGAATAGAGTTAAAAAGTTTAATATTGGCTATTTTTTTTTGATGATGATTTTTTTAATAAAATTCGCTAAGATGGGTAATTTTTGATAGAATGTTTAAAATTGGTTATTGTAATCGAGTTGGATATAGATTCCTGAGCGCTTATTTTATGTAAATAATAGTATTTTTTAATAATAACTTTTAATATAATTATCAAGATTTTAAAATTTACAATTAAATAGCTCTGTTTTATATAGTAAAATAATACCATTTTAAATTATTTAAATTACTTAAAAATTTATTATGAATAAGTGCCCATATTATATAGTGATTTTATTTCTTTTGGATCTTGATAGTTTAAAATTAAATTCTAAAATGCAATTTCAAAGTTTTTTTCAAGTAAAAAATTTCAAGATATAAGTGATATATCTTTTACATAATTTAATTTCGCATTCTTCGTTTGGATCACATGGTATGCATCACAAGATAGCTATAATATTATCATGTGACCTGCACTTCTGGGAACTGATCTAACCAATTCAAGTTAGTATTTTCATAAAAAATTTTTTGGGTGCTAATTTGTCTATAAATATTTTAGCAAGCAAATTTGTCTGCTAAACTAGACAGTTTAAGAGATAATTATAATTGTTTAGTGTAGATAAAAAATCTTATATTTTCTTTTTTCTTGTTTAATTTTTATCTCTTTTTTTATTATTTATATATTTTATTATATTTCTTTATATCTCTATATTTTTTATAAAGTTTTTTTTTTACTTCTCAACAAAAAGATATTAAATTAATAATATTTTATTGTAGGATGATAATTGAATAAACTTTTGAAGAGTATTATCTTAATTAATCCAGTTACCTGTAAGCACTCTAGTAATTTTAGTTAAATATAAAATAATCACAAGATATCAGGGCTATTAATTTATTGTAATAATCTTTGGATAATAAGTTCACTAATAGCTTTAATAAATAACAGTCACTAGCACAATTACCTAAGTTAAAAAATATATATATAACTTGATTGCCAAGGTAAAAAAAAATAGTAAAATTTCAAAAAAATTTTTAAAATTTAATTTTAAACAGTAATAGCAGCTTAATTTTTAGTATAGATATAGTAGCATATTGTTTTATACTAAAATCAGCAGAGTGGACAAACTATATATGCTACTAAAATAGGTTTTCAAAAAAACCCTATTTCGTCTCTATTAGAGCAATTTAAAATTTTTTATATATAAGAGCAAATCTAATTTAGGTAGTTATGTTCTTTATAATTTCATCTCTTTAAAAAGTGTCAAAAAATTTTATCTTTTAAGTAAAATAGGTCAAAAATAATTTGTCTTCAAATTTTAATTTCATATCCTAAAACCTAAAATAATTTTGTTAGCATGTATAAGACAAACCCAAATTTGATAATAATCATCATAATTAAATAAAAAAAATTTTTTAACTTTTTATATACATTAAAATATTTTTTATTCTCATAATTTTTTAAAAACTTACCAATTAAATACATTTAAAACAAAATATAACAGAAAGAGTTTTCAAATATCTATCTTCTATTAAAATTAATTCAAAATAATCCTAGTATTTAAAAAGTTTTATTAAGAATGAAAGTTTATAAGAGATCTAAAATAGTTAAACCTGTAATTCGAGTGCACAAAGATATTTCGGTATTAAAACTAAGAAAAAACAACACAAAACTATGATCTAGTATTTTCTAAAAAAAGCAAAAACAAGCTCAAATAGCATTTATACGAAGAACGAAGTAAAAAAGATAAGTTTATTAGCTTTTGATATTTTTAAAATTAAAATCATGCTATAGAACTTATAAGTAAATATTACTAATTTTTAATATCTGTAATTTAAGATACGAAAAAGAAATGATTTAGAAATGATCTAGAAATAATTTAAAAATAATTTCGAAAGTGTGTTTATTAAATAGAATTAATAAATTTGTAAACCCAGTTGCAATAACCGCAGTTAATTAGTGTAATATACTGCTGCATAATTATATAATATTCTGCATAAAACCAGTTTTATTTTTTAAATAGAAGTTATTTAAAGCAATGTGCAATCACATGATATGAAGCCAATCAAATTATTTGGTTTGATCAATACAGATTAGCTCAACGAAGAAAAAAGAAGAAAAAAAGCAAAAAAATGAAGAATACAAGAAACTAATGCCTAAACCTATATTGATACACTAATAAAAAATATTAGGAAGATAATGTTACCTATAAGATATACCCTAACTCTAACCTCAAACTAACCCTTACCTAACTTTAACTAAATAGTCAAAAATATATGATGCACAATGCTTTAAACATCTTCTTTAATATTAAATAGTAAAAACTAATTAAACCTAGATTAAATACCAAACTAGTTCAAATACAAGTCATATTTCATATTACGAGTATTGATACATAAGAATTATAGTATGTATATATGTACAACAAAGCAAAATATAAAAAAAACTTCTTTTTTTAGTAGAATTGTACGTTAATTTATTCAAAACAAGAATGGCATATATATTACACGATATTGTTAAATTTCATACAACTTATGATCTCTTTTATTAATCTTTGACTAGATAGCTATCATGATAATACAAAAAACAATTGATAGTACTTAAATAATTTCAATTACATAGCAATTGGAAATGATAATGTAACATAATGCATTGATTAATAATGAATTTATTAGTAAAATAAAACCCATCAACTAATTATACTAATCTTATATATAGTATAAAGCTACTATCTTTTATATAATTGTATAATTAAAGATCAACAGAGCAAGTTTTAATATAATGATTAGGTTGTTTGCAACGGAAACAAAAGTATGTACCTTTAACTTTTTAGTAATTGATTGAATATTTTTCGTTTCAAGTGAGCTTTTAATATGTTTAACTCTTGGGGCTCCTTTTCTCTTTTTAGTTATAGGATTTTGAACAGTAGAAATATCAAAAGGTGCAATATTTTCTTGATTATCTTTACTTGATTCATCATCTTGAATTTCTCTTGCAACAGTATTAGCAACTAATTGTTGATCAGAATTTACAGAATATTGTTGAATAAAGTCTTCCAAAAACTTATTAAGAGTTTTTATTGCAATTACGCTAACATCCAATCCAACAGCCATAGTTTTCTTACAGAGACTATTCGTAATTCCATATGCACAAAGAGTGTTGAGTGTTTTTGATATATTAATAGAAATACCAGAACTTGGATATATAAAAGTAGAATCTGATATGAAATTAGAAGTTAAAATAGCACTTCTATTTTGATAAGTAATAGATGGTTGCGATCTTAGTAGGAATAATTTTAAGCTTTTCTTGATCATTAAATTCATTATTTTGATATTTGTTTTCATTCATATCTGATATATCAAAATTAATCAATGTATCATTTTCTATATTATTAGTAGACAATATTTCAGGTTTGGGTAAAGTATATTCTTGTTGTATAGAACAGATAGAAGAAGCTTGTAAATTAAAAGCTAAAGATGTCTTACTACTTGACAAAGGCTATAAATGTATAGGCACAAGAAAGAAGCTTGTGAACCGGAGGCTAGTGATATCTCACTATTTGGCATAGGCTGTTGTAATATTTTACTATTTAAAATAGGCTGTGAATATATAAAGCACATATAAGAAATTTGTAAACTGGAGGTTAGTAATATTACTTGATATAGGCTGTGAATATACAAGATGCATAGAAGAAACCTGTGAACTGACAAAGTGTATAGAAGAAACTTGTAAATCGAAAACTAGTAATATTTCACAACTTGACATATGCTGTGAACTTTGCGGTTGGTATTGAAAAGCTTGTAAAAAAATAGTAAGCATTATTTAGTAAATAGTTCAACCTTTCAATAGCATATTCTTCATATCACGAATACCTGATTCAAACATCATAATTCATCAACTTGTAGTTTTCTTGGGATCGATGTATCACAGATTAAGATATCACAACAACTGGTTGAAGTACATATATTTTTCTTGTCTAACTTTTCAAGTTATGTAATAAAAAACTTGTGGATATAAACAAAACCTATACGTTATGTATTGTGTGGTCGACAAGTTTTTGATGATTTTGTACAAGTTTTCTTAAACTTCAAAGATACAGTCGCAGTCATAAGTATTCTACTCTGTGTAACTTGGCACAGCAAACAGATAAGTAAAAATTTTTTTTTATTTAAAAATATATGACCAGACGTGATCCTCAATGCAATACATAATCACTATTATTAGCTATTACAGCTTCTACACGATCATTCATATCTACCACTAATTTTGCCGCCAGACCGTCTGGCAATTAACTCCATTCTTTTACTATCAACCTTTTTAACCCCTTTATTGACCGAATTTTTTTTTTTGCGAGCTTAATTTTCATGATTCTCCAGACATTTTCTATTGGATTCAGGTCTGGTGATATCGAAGGCCACGAGAGTACCTTAATACCACTTTCTTCTATCTATTTTTTCACAATTTTTGAATGATATTTCGGATTGTTATCTTCTTGAAGCATCTATTCTACAGAACCCTCGCCAAAAATTTTATCAGTAGAAGACAGAAGACCCTTCTCATACACAGTAATCATATATTTTGCATTCAGGTTTTTCTGAAAGAGAAACAACTCACCAAACCCAGAAGCTGAAAAACAGCCCCACACATGGATCTTTATGAGATGCTTCACAGACCGAAAGACACTGCGCTTGCCAGGAAACTGCCACACTTTTTTTGGTCGATGCTTCAGATGGAATGTATTTTCATCCGAAAAAACCACATTATTTTAGTCATGGTTCCTATGCTTTTTAGTCCACGCCAGCCTTTTTTCAATATACTTATTGGTTAGCAGGAGCTTTGAAAGTTGTACAGTATATTTGCCACCCGATTCATGCAGACGATGGTGAATTGTGGACTCACTGACTTCTACGCGGTACTTCTTTATGTCTTCACAGATTTGCATGGTAGTTATGTTATCATTTTTTTTTGCAAACTCAATTATTCTTTGATCTTGCTTTTTGGTGGTGATTCTTTTACGACCAGACTTTGGTTGATCGTTCAAATCCTTGGTCACAGACCACCTATTAACCCAATATTGCGCCATTTTTTTATCACAGCCGATCTCTTTTGCAGATGCAGCAAGTCCAAGTTTCAGACCCTTATGGTGAGTGTGCAAAAAAATGATTTCATACCACTTATGTATAGGAAGAGACATTATTTGAACTTCCAAAATTCAGTGATCATCCAATTTCTGATGTAGATTATTAACGGACCTAAAAAAAGTAAGTGTGATTAGTATTTATATTGTACTACATGTTTGGGAAATTTTATGGTATTATACTTGGTTACCGAAAAATTAGCCGGGTGGGAATACTTATGACTATAACTGTATGTAATTATTTTGTGAAGGCTTATAGATATATATATATATTTTTTTTTTTTGGTGTTAAGGTGGCCTCTTATTTAAACTCTCTGCGCCTATATGAGTTACCTTCTAACCGAGCGAGAATCCAATTGGACCCCTTATTTTCAGATACCCGGCTTAGGATTTTAAGACAAACTTCCTCCATTGGAAGTCTTTTATCCTCGAGGACAAACCTGCTAGAGCTTTCCGTACCCACAATCTGGCTAACCTAGGCTTCAGTAACTTACGCCG